TCCCCGGAGATGCTGTAAAGCTGACACGCGACGACCGGGAGTGTAACGTTATTTTCCAATAGCAAAGGGGTAGGTACATTCCATTGACACTGATGCTCAACGATCAGAGAGCAGAAAGAACGCTGCTAGCAGGCTGGATCATTGAGAACGCTTTAAAGCGAATATGTAAATATTTCCAGATATCATATCGAGGATACGCTAACGCCTCTACCTTGTTATTCTCTCGTTGAACGCAAAGTGCAAAAGGGTTATACTTTACGAGCGGGAAATTTATCGACGATATCCATTCCGTGTAACTACCACGGCGAGTGTACTTGATCGAAGATACCTATCCTATACGATGCCACGAGGAAGCTGATACCCTCTCGCGTGTATGCTCTGTCGATGGAGAGCAACCGTGACAACTTGAACAACCTCTCTCGTCCTAAAGCGACGTCCTGAATTCCTGAAGACGCCTTGTAAACGATCGATGAGCTGTCGGTTAGAGCGAGCATCCGCAGAGTGGCCAACAATTAAATCATTTTATCTCAATCCCTATCTGCTCTAAAATTGTCAAAATCAAAAATCAAAAAATGCGACCATCGTTGAAACGACCTAACATTTTTATCTGTATTCGTTTCATCGAACGTCACGTATGAAATTCTATGTCTTAGGCTTTAGGTTTAGAGGTGAAGAACAAGTACGATCATCCGAGTAATTAATGAACGTCTGCTCTAGGTAGGAAGGTTGAAGTAACCTGTAATAGCCGGTTACGAGTTTTGGGTAATTTCACGAAACTTCGCTGGCCGATTTCAACGGGGATAGGTAGCTTTAATGGCGAGTAACTTTGCGCGTATAACATACGATATTGCAAAGCTCGCTTTAGACAGATATCCTGGCTGCGTGGTCGGGCGTCGTGTTCGTGGCTGGTCGAGAATATGCGTCGATGATCGTACACAAGCCGGCGGTTTTGTCATTCTAATAGGCGAACCGATGCATCAATTATAGAAACACAGAGCAGCCGGTCTCGTATTATCATGGCAACCGAATAACGCGCTCCGATTGCAGCCGATTATGCGAATAATAAATTGGCATTCGAACGCGCGCCGTACCCGGAGACATTCGCCATTCCAGCCAGCAGAATGCCAACCCTTTTGTTCCGATCATTCTGTACGGGAAATTAGTATAATTCTTGGTCATCATGCGACTAGTATCGATCGGCAAACGGTAGGAAATCGAATTACCTTCGTGATACGTTACATCCGCTATTGCGATACGTTTGTAATACTTATTTGAAAGAACTTTAACCCCTTGGAAAATAATAAATTTTCATTTCGAAGGATGAAAATAATGAATCGCATTTGTCATTTCTCATTATGAGGAATCTATTCGATATGAAATACGGAACGCATCGTCTCGTAGCTTGAATAAATCAATTTTAGAATGATTTATGAAGATAGATATTTCCATGAAACGCTCGGCAGACACTTTTTCCCCGACCCTCCTACTTCGTCGAGCACTCATTTCCCCTAGAAATGACCGGGACGCACTGAAATTCGATTTTGTCCCGTTGCACAGCAGCCCCGAGCGAGGCTAGGGAAATTCTTCGACGATATGCGCCACGATGGAGAAGCTATGGGAGCACAGACATGTCTCCCTTGTCTGATAGCTTGGTGCTATTAATCGCATTAGTCGGACGGCGAGTCTCTTGAGTGGTAAGCACCTCTACCTTGCTCTACAAAGGCCAGGCTATCTTTGCTCCTGTTGCCCGAGATGCTCCTTGCCAGACAGGACTAACATGCACCAAGAAGACGGAACATTTCATGCTGCATTGAATCAAATGACTAAATTGACCATTCTAACTCGGCTTCAATGAAATTCACTGATTAAATTCATATGCGAATTTTCGAGGTATTCTGAGAATGGAATATTCTTCTAAATAATTATATAGAATTTCTGAATATTTCATTTTTATATCCTGAAGAAATATTTTTAAATATACATATTTAAATAATTGATCGCTGTTTAATCGCAATCACGTTTTCGTTTCACCTTTTGAACCGAGCTAATTAACTAACTTAAAGAAGCATGAATTGGATAAATAGATAACGAGACTCTTAAAGGAATATAGCAAGATAAAATATTAATCCTCCATCAATTTCATTTATAAAAATAATTTGAAATCATACACTTTCAAAGTTAATTGAATTTTTGCATTATTATATGCAAAATGTATCTAATTGGTTAAAAATTGCATATCCGACATTCTACACATTTCTTCTTTGATTAGAGAAAATTCGTTGCAAAACGAGCACGAAATTCTGAAGCACGAGTACTTTAATAGATAGAACATGTAAAGAAGATGATAAAAGTTTGCAGAAAACGAGAGATGTTATTAAAGATAAGCAGAAGTTTCCATAAATAGCAATACGAGGTATTTTATCAAAAATCACTTGATTACTTTCATTTAAATTTAACAGGAAGAATTCTAGAAATAAAAGCAAGTCCACAAATATTCTTTTCTTATCCAGCTGTTGGAAACGACTGTCCACTCCAAACGTATTTCAACCTGACGATTTATACGAGAAGACATGTAGGGTAGTTCGCGAAACCAACCCCTTTTGCGAGGGGACAGTGGGGTCAAGTAGCGATGACTCGTCCGTCTGATATATTTTTCGCCAGGGTCTTTCGCATAATTCCGTAAAAATATAGCGAACGAGTGGTGAAGTGGGAGAGAGGCATCGAGGTTCGAGTAGCAAAGAAAGCCACCGTGTGCGGTATAACTTGGCAAGGCAACGAACCTTCGACTATCCTCCTCCTCCACCTCCTCCAACGTCACCACCGTCACCCTCTCGTGCCACGACCTCCTCCTCGTCTTTCCGTCGACTTAGCCACCAGTTCTCTACCTACATACATACGAGAGTGGAAGAAAGACACCACCATTTCTATAGGCATTCATCATTCGCTCCTCGCTCAACGTTCTTCTTTCTCCTTCTCATCCCTTAGCCCTCTCTCTCTCTCTCTCTCTCACTCTCTATTCCACCCCTCTATTTCTGCGTCTGATCGTCTCGCGCTCACTTTCCCCGTTCCTTTTCCAACCCTCCAAAAACACATCCCCCTCCGCAACCCTTCTCTTTCTTTCCCTCTTTCACGCACCCGTTCGCCAGATTCACTCGTTCTTTTCTTCTCCATCGTTTTTTCCTCCCCGCAACCTCCACCGTTACGTAGCTGAGATGTGCATTGATGGTAATCTACCAGGCTTTTAACCGAATATCACGCTTCTCCCGGTACCCGCAGATTTCCGTGGCCGATTTTTCAACGGAGCTTATCGAAAGGTGGAGGAAAAATTGAGAAAGGAAATTTGATGGTTCGATGTACGAATGTTTAGAGGATGCAATTTCATTCCTTCGAACTTTGAACTAAACGCGTTGAATAATAACTACCTCTTAACGATTCAAGACACACGCTTGACATTATTATTCAAATCATACGAATTATTTACGAGTAAATTCGATGTGATATATTTGAAAGGGTTCTTCGTATTCTTATTTAATTAGAAACGGTTGCACCATTGCAACTTATGCTTCCCAAGCGCTTGTACGTATTACTCGAGGTCAGAGTTAATATCAAAGTTGCTAGTCTCGTATGAAATAACTTCGAGCTGATCTAATTAAATCGAATTATTTAACAACTCTGTAATCCACGAAGGACGTCTAGGGGTTTCAGAAAATGAATAGTCTGATCCGATGGAATTGTTTTGATCAGGGGAATAATTAAATTGTATTGTACGTGGCTTTTGTTAATTAAGGCTAAATATGAACATGCTCCTGATGAAACATTAAATTTCGTTGAAGAGAAATTATTTAAAATTATAAGTTCGGAAACGGCATTTTGTTTAAAGGAAACAATGAATTTGATTGTGTATGTTTTATGATTTCAATATCAAATTTTTTTGATTTTCTACCGGTTCATTTTTAATTAAAAGACATGCATATGCTGTTTTGTATTGAGAATCCAATTACCATCTCGTGTAACGCGTTGTAAATCAATACTTGATCAGTTATTTCATGTAGATCATAAATTGCAGTTTCTCGCCTCTCGTCGTTGTTTATAAAATAATTTTAAAAACGGATGTTCATATCGACACGCGTATGATGTATTAAAAACGTTTCTAGAATGCGTATCCCTTCTTTATTGATTCAACGACGAAACTTGTCGATACGTTTTCCCGAATGACTACAGCGATTCATTGCAATCGTGCACACCTATCACCTACGCGAAATATAGCAATAACGAAAACACCCTACTCTATAACCCCACCCGAATCGCTGTTTACTGTTCTACATGAACGCGTGTTTATCGTCAAGAATGAACACGCGAATGAATATATCACGAAGAACCTGTTATTCAACACCTTCGTTAACAGCACCCAAATAGAAATTTGTCCAAAATAGGACAGCTCTTTTAATAAAATAAAATAATGTAACTTCGGTCCATGAACGTCGTTTGTACATTATACTTTTCAATGCTATCATATGAAAAATCGGACAATACGGGAAGTGGCAACGAACGTGTTAATCCTTTGATGACCGACGAAATTTCACAGTCTCAAATTTAAATCGTAGCAGTGATATTAGTAATATTAACTGTGTGATAGTACTGTCTACTTTCTATTTTTTATGAACTAAATCTCCAAAAGCTTCGCAGACCTAATCACTGACTGCCTAATTCTTTCTTATCCCGAGTAAGAACGTGATTAAGCAATCGTTCCTTCTCTATATTTCTCTCTCTGTAGAAGAGAAATATGCACACTTTCGAGCGTAAAAAATCGCGCATCAAGAACGGAATATTTACTTCCGTCCAATCTTGAATAGACAGCAACGAGCCGAGTGCAACAACCCTCCATAACCGTTGGAGTAGTTGCACAACGTTCGACCGATCGTGTCGCTACACACGCGAGCCGGTTGCAAGCGTATCATACGCGAATTCGCTGAACGTTGTAACACGTAAAAGACACTCACCGATGGAGATCTTGTCCGGGTAGGCAGCGGGCAGCAGGACCATCAGTATGCTGAACGCCGTGGTCATGACGGTGAACGTAGATAACGGCCTGGTGATACGTGAGCTTCCAACGTTCCTGCTGTTTTCAAGCGTATTTGACACGACACCGTGAAAAATGGTCGCGCGACGCCGCCGGCGCGATAAGGGCGGTCCACCCGTTTCGTGAACTACCGGGAGCATCTTCCGTGCTCCGTGGTCTGACACAAACTGGCGCACTTCACTCGGCGTGAACTCGATCCCGCTTGAACCGCCCCAGCATCCCTCTCTCCTACCTTCGCGTACCTTCCCCTACCCCCTCGACCGAGAGCAGCCACCGTTTAACCAACCATACCAGCCCTTCCCTTCTCTGCCCTTCGCTTCTCATCGTCTCTCTTGTTTCCTCATCGCACCCTCTGCGGATCATGGTCTGGGTGCCATCTCTACCAACCAACCCCTACGCACAACCCTCTCTCGCGCCATCTTTTCGCTCTCTCGCTCCCTAACCTAATATCCCCATCTTTTTCCGTTCAGAAAGCCATCCTTCGCGCGCACGTTACACGACAGAAGCGCGCCACACGCGATCCCAACACAAGACGTTTCCTGTTATTTTCCACCGACGCGACGGATACCGGTGAGCAATACTGTTGCTCCGCTGGTACGGAAGAAATCTACGCGCGATGTTTCCGACAACTGGAACTAGTCGGGAACGACTTATCAAACGTAAACACCGCGACGACCAGCGAACCTGCTCTGGAATGTTGTTGACGTTACCGAACGATTACTTCGCCAGATTTGGTTTTTGTGTACTGGCTGGTTTGATACCGGCGCTCGATCTGTTTACGTTCTCGAGTATTATTGAGAACCACGGTAGGTCTGTATGCTCGAATCGAGGTTATGGTCTTTAATAAAACAACGACAACATTAAGAGGCACGTGTTAAATACTGGTAGATTCGAAAGGTGTTATATGATTTTGATAAATGCTAATGATTGATTTCATCGAAAAAGCAAATTTGGTAAGCGTCGGTAAAGCAAATTTCCACGAATATTTATGTACTAAAATGGCGGCCGTATGGATGTAACGCAATTGGCGGGAAAGAATTTGTTTGCATGCATAAAGAATATCAGTGAATATGTTATATTGATAAAAGTATTGAATTTTCGAAATTGGAAGTACAGTAAAGCATGAAATGAATCAAATGAATTGTCCAAGAATTACAAATACTTTTCTAGAATAGATGTAGAGGAAGTGTATCCCATCATTGGCGTTATTTATTCAGAATAAGACTAAATGTAGTGGGCTCCTCCAATTATACTTATTCTTAACCAAGAGAACTTAAGCACTTACCTAAAAATGTTGTAAAATGCCGAAAAGTCCAGAGAAACAAGGGGGGCTGACGTCTACTGCAAGACTCGACGGGGCGTCATGTCCAATAAACACGTTCTTTTCATGAATATTAATTATTAAGTAACAATTACACTTGAAACAGGGATATAAGTGTAAAGACTCACCTTAAATTATGATGGACACACGTAATTAGTTATAATTCATAAATATATTTGTATATTTCTTCCAATTTACACTTACGACGCAAACCACAACTGCACTAACGATAAACTAATTCGATACAAGTATCGAAGATTTGAAACTATCGAAGTTAAGCGAATGCAAACTGGCGCATGCGCAGTATAAGTTTTCTTGCAGTTCGACGCACCAAGAGAAATGGAGTCTTTGGATTGGCAAACGACTCGTCAAGCAGATTAGCATGTGACAAAAGTGACAGATCGTAAGCAAGAGTTAAATAAGTGGTTTTGGTATTTGTATAATTGTAAATTTTAAACACAATGGATCCAGCATTACTCAGAGAACGAGAACTGTTTAAAAAACGAGCTCTAAGCACACCAGCGTAAGTATTAGATACCAAATTACGTTTCTAACCTGTATCTGTATAGAAAGTAGAAATTTAAAAGTACCATAAACACATTTTATTATAACATTCGTATTAAAGTTTAAACTTATGAATTACCTGTTTCACAAAAATTTAAAAATTTAAACACATACTGTATGCTTTATGGTATAATGTAAAATGTAAAATTTATGTTTACAGGGTAGAAAAAAAGAAAAAGGAACAGGATAAAGACTCTGCACGAGATGAGCCCCTCAAAAAGAAACCCAAGCCATCCTCTGTGTCTACAGGGCCAAAGCTGGACATGGTTAACTATAAAACCATGTCTGGTAGTACCCAATACAAGTTTGGTGTTTTAGCCAAGATAGTGAAACACATGAAAACTAGGCATCAGGATGGTGACGATCATCCTTTGACATTAGAGGAAATTCTAGATGAGACAAATCAATTAGATGTTGGATCTAAGGTAAGTCTAATAATATGTAAGTAATATTAGCATAGATTTGGAGCATGGGGATTTTTGTTGGTCAGGTAAAACAATGGCTTCAAACTGAAGCTCTTATTAAAAATCCAAAAATTGAGGTAACTTCGGACGGTAGATTTGTATTCAAAGCTATGTATAAAATCAAAGATAAGAAATCTCTGTTGAGATTGCTAAAACAACAGGACTTGAAAGGTCTGGGGGGAATTTTATTAGAGGATATACAGGAAAGCTTGCCACACTGTGATAAACATTTAAAGGCAAGTAGAAGAGTGAATGGTGTGTGGCTGATAGTGCGTAGTGTGAAACAGTGATAGTAACGGTGATTTCACAATTCTAGAGTTTACAAAACGAAATATTATTTATAACAAGGCCCATGGATAAGAAAAAGATTGTATTCTATAACGATAAAACGGCACAGTTTCCAATAGACGATGAATTTCAAAAATTATGGAGGGCTGTTGCTGTTGATGCAATGGATGATCAAAAGATTGATGAATATCTTGAGAAACAAGGAATACGATCGATGCAAGATCACGGTCCTAAGAAACCGGCTCCGATCAAAAGAAAGAAACCAGTCGGTAAGAGGAAACAATTCAAGAGGCCAAGAGATAATGAACATTTGGCAGATGTTCTGGAAACATACGATGATACAAAATAGACTTTACTTAATGTCTGTAAATAATACGAAATTGTGATTTAAGTGTTGAAAGATAAATAAGAACGGATTTATCATTATATCATGATTAAATATGATCAACTTTCTATGAAAATCATCTATTTTGAAGTTAAAATTATAGCCTTACATATCATCGTGATATAATAAATAGATAAAATATTTATTGTCATAACTTTACCTTATAAGTACAAAATAAATCTAGATCAACTAGCACAGGTTTCTGTATGTATATAAACTACACTCGTGTATGTTGTATTCATTATCAGCCTTGTAAAACGAACAAGCCATTCACTTTTCACACATTGTGAACCGAGTAATTGAATTTCGATGGAAATATGTATATCTTGCAAGACAATAAAGCGTTTCAGTAAAAAATATGACAACATATTGAAACGTTATACGCTTAAATTATTCTCTAACATAAAGCTTCTAAATGTACGTACCACGTTATAGTATAAATCATAGTTACTTGAAACTACATAAATCTTTGGTACTTAAAATTTTACTGATAAGTACGTGTATGCATGCATAAAATATGTTTCGTTACGCTTCGAAATTTTCTTAAATAGAATCATCACGATTTCCCGTTTAGTAAGAAAAAAATATAGATAGAAAAATGTTTCTTAGAAAGACTCCGCGTATAGAAATTAATCTTTCGGAAGTGCAGAATCGCTTTTCCCCCGGGAATAAGCACGGGTCGCTTTGCTACCGAGCATCCTATCCAATAACGATTGCTTGTTCCTCCTCCTGGCAGCCAAAACTTCTCGGCACAGTTCGTGAAACGATTCGGCAACTTGAGTTACCTGAAACAATACAATATTGTTACATTCAAATTATCCAAGAGAGAAAACTTTTTTACCTGGTCGAACCGAATAGAAAGTATACCTGTTCCGCGGCGGATACTTCACTGAACCAGCATTCGAAGTCCTTCGCGAGTATTTCTCCCTCCTCGGTGCTAACTTGCCTCAAATGAACCATATCGGCTTTGTTTCCAACTAAAGCAAGAGGCATCGTAGCCTCCGGATCAGCCACCGCCAGTGTTTCCTTCGCTTTTCGAACAAAATTGAAGGAACCTCGGTCGGTTATCGAATAGACCAAAAGCAATCCGTCAGCCCATTGTAGAGTTTCCGTGGATGGTAATTCATCTTCGCTCTGTAACATCGGAAAATATACTTTTTCATTATCCTCTGTCATTAACGAAACCGTTCGTTTCTTACCTTCGGGCAAGTGTCTAAAATTTCAAATAGTATCGGTTCACCGTCCACCAACACCTCGTGCTTGTATCTGTTTTCTAAAAAAAAAGAAAAAGAAAAATAATACAATTTTAATGCGATCAATAACTTACACCAACGCATTCGAAAAGACGTCAGAACAAAGAAATTATATAAGAAATTTTCATCGCGTTTCATTCGGTGATCAGGTAGCCGAAGACTGTTTAGTGGATCTTTCTAGTCCGGTCTAGTTTTAGATCCCCTCGATACGAGACACGTGCTCGCAAGAAAGTCCCTCGTCTCGTCTATCCCGCTTCTGTATTTCAACAAAACAAGGAGTTTTGTACGAGTATCAACCTCGCATTAGTACCCGTCCTGTCTAGTGTCAAATTCGTCTTCGATAAATTTAGACCAGACGCAGCCCAAGGTATGCGTAGGGAGAGTATACGCAGCCTTTTAGGTGCTTCAGCGCGGTTGTTGGCAATTTTTCAAAATAAAAGAAAAAAGAAAACTGTATGGAAATATACGCGACATTGTTATCGACGTTTCGTTCTGGTATCGAGAAGCCGCATCTTGTAAATCGAGATGTGCCTTACCTGACTGGTGATCATATTCCCCGATGTACCTCCTTGTTAGAAATCTCACTGTCAATGCTGGAACGTGAAAAGAATATCTGTGATATCGTTTTGAAACGTTCATAGGAATTAGCTTGAATTAGCGTTGTTATTCGATTCCAGTTTCTATCGTTAGAACTTTCCTCCGGCACCGTTTTCATCTATCAGGACAGTAGGTGGACGAGTGTGACACATATTAGATTGTGCATACATCAATAGAAATTCCGTGCACATATCTGTTAGAAAGTTATCAACCTACATTTTACCAGAACCAAGCGCTCTATTTCTATCGGTTCCTCTATGATATTCGATTAGCTCCAAATAGGGACGAATTGCATAAGATAACAAGTGCAATGATAGACATTTCTTCAAAATAACAGCTTGTGAGCTGTAGCTAGGATCTTACTACTTATTTTGAAATACTTTCTATAAATCTGAAATTTTTCTAGATGCATTAATTAGAATTTTGATTAATTCTATGTTAGAAATATAGAGACGACTAACTAAGTTTAAGGGTCCAGTTTCTTCTACTTTGACTCTCCCTGTCCTATCTGTAGGAATCAATTTCCACTCGATATCATGGAAACTTACACGATCTTGTTCGATACAATGCACGTTCCAACGTATCGTGATTCGATCGAGAGAAACGAGAGCTACAGCCTAGTGACCCGCTTCGAGGTATACCGCACTATTTTTACCTCGAACTCGAACCTGCCACGGTGCTACAGAACCTTGCACGAGCATCGAACGTCAGCTCGCGATGTTTCGTCTGAAAATTCAATGAAAAACTAGCCCGAAACTATACGTGTCGTAGGAATTTTGATTTGTGAAATCGAAAGAAGAAGAGGAAGTGATTTTCCAAGTCGTCTAAAATTGTAGACTGGCCACAGCGGGTCTGGATCCCCGAAGACTAGAGCACGTTTCATCCCGTGACTGACAGGACCACCTGAACGCTTCATAGAGAACAAATTTATCGGCGATCGGGTATCTCTTGCTCGATTCCACCGAGCAACATCATTTGGACGCTTTCCCTCGCGTGGCTCGTTAAAAGTTTGCTGCTCCTCGTGCCAATTTCCTGCGCGGATCAATTCGGCTACCCGAATCAACTTTAACCACCCTTCCCCTTTCCTTTCTTTCGACGAAACCAGCAATTACTTGGCAAGTTAAAAATACAGCAAACGAAAACTGCAAGGAAAACATTGCCGTCATCGTTGTGTTCGAAACCGATATCTACGATTCATTCCTTTTTTTTTTTTTCTTCTTTTCTTTTCTTCTATTCGTGAGAAAACGCGATCGCGACGTTACGTGATCCAAGGAAATATTGAAATAAAATTTTATAAATAGGGCGGAACGCATAATCGCCGGGATCTAAGGCAATTATTTATTCACCTCTATGCCTTACACGTGCCATTACCAAAAATACACCCGGGTTGGCTTCTCTCTGGGTTCTGACCACGTTTCTCGTGCGCGCACACCTATCGCTTGGTCACCCGTTAACATGTGACTTGTGCACTTGTACTTGAATTAACAGCTGGGCTGATTCATTTTCTTCGAAGATTCTTCCTCTTCGTCTTCTTTGGGTTTCATACCGATCTGATTGAATATCATTCGAATATATACTTTTCGATGGAAGTATGATTCTTGTACTTGTTTGGAAAGGGTTGAGTATTATAGAGCAGTGTTTTATTTTTTAGCACATTAATGAGAGAGAATTGATCATTATAATATTATTAGTATATCATAGAGTTATTAATAACACTATAATAATATTTGCTAGGCAAAACGGGTGATGTTACACTTTCGAGCACAGTAAAGAGGAAGGGTTAAATATTAGAGCAAACGTTCGATGGTTCAAATTTGAAAAGATGAAAATTAATATATAATTGAAATTTAAGATAATTCTTATACCCACCACTTTTCCCAACTCCTGGCGCCCCGATAACAGCCACTTTTACCTCGCATAGCGAACTCTTCTTTCTTCGAATACCTCTGATCGCATTTGACGTCATGCTCCGCGCATTTGTCACTGAACAAAGTATAACAGAAGATCGTAACGTTAGCAAACGCGTTGAACGTGCGGATTAAGGGTGCCGTGTGTATTCAACGCGGACCGCAAAAATCTGTCGCGATTACATCTTTCCTTGGCCGGTTTCCACGAGCCTCGATTACGACTCCGAATTTCATATAAAATATTCGAAAGCGACACAGGTAGCGTGCATTCTGTTAGCGTTTGCCAAGGAAAACAACGCGAGAAGGTTGTATTTTCATAAAATTTAGTTAACACCTCGTGATCCACTGATCTAAAATTTTTCTACTTTTCATATTCTTCTTTTACATTCTGTCTAAAGTTAGACGAATGGTATAAAATTTAAAAAAATGTAAATGATATAAAATTCTGATTATCTCTCTCCATGGTCCGTCATTCAAAAGTTAATTTTCTTCAGTCCAGAAACATAATTTCCAATAATCTTCGCTTATTTCCAATTTGTACCATGGATGCAATTTCTTGATTTGCTTTCATCTTAAGAAGAGCCTGATACTTTTCCCGTGTCGGAAAATTCCTTCCTCTACGTTTCTCTTCAGCTACTGAAAATCTTAGTTGCATGAGACTGCTCCGATGTCGAAGAGGTCGACGTTTCCAAATATCCTGCACCCGTTTCCATTTACCGGCTGTCTCGTGTCTCCCCTTCGAAATCAAAACGGGATCAACCGAGCCGTTTCGCCTCGTGTTCCTCTTCGAACGAAAGTTTAAATACACCGTACTCCTCGGCGTCTTTCGGATGAAAGAAAACGAGGGGAAACGGAGGCGGAGAAAGAAGCGACGGAATCGAGGTGCGTGCAAACCTCGTGGAACAGAGAAGGCCCGACTTGATGGTTACATTAATAGAACGGTTCGCACATGTACCGTGGAATCTGAAGAATTTACTCTGGCGTCTAACGATGTACCATCACCGCGCGTAAGTGGCGTCATGGGTATACCAGACACCCCGTGGATTTCTAATCGACCGCGTTTTCATAGCGGACCGTACACCTGAATTCGCAGGTACGGTAGTCGCGGAAATATAACGTGTTTATTATACAATAAAGATTTTCTAACAACGAAGGAACGGCTACATTGTTCGACGATAATGCCCGTAGTGCCGCGTGTGGATCGCACCTTTAATCCTAGAAAGATGGGGCATTGTACGTAACCATGGAAACATGGAAATTTTAGGACGGACTATAGTGCATCGCGTTGCAATGCAAAAATTTGCATAACGCGCCAAATTGCAGCATATTGCAACGTACTATTAATTTTCTTTAATACTTGGAATATTTAAAGATACTTAATAAAATTTGTTAATTAACCACGTTATATTTCAACGACCATTATACCTTACTTATTTTCATATTCAAAGATTATCGAACGTGTTCCTCGACCGTGGAGAAAATTGACAAAGCGTAAACAAAGAACGTTCTAATTTAATAAGTAAGTCAAGGTGCCAGTCTATCAGCATTCAATAGGATTTCCAATAACTGTTACGAACGCGGCGTTATTTTTCTTTCTTCATCGACGTGGATTACTTACCAGTCGGTTAGAACGCGCCGTTGTATCTCTCTCTCAGCATTCCTCGAAACACTTTCTATCAGCTCGTTAGCCCGGCGAACATAACGGCCTGTGGTGAACGTAAGCGAGTATCAAAGTTAGGTGAATTCGCGACGCGATACCGTTCCTCCTATTATCTGTTATCGAACGCGAACGGCTACCTGTCCGAATACAATCGAGGGAAACGGAGCGGAAGGGATCGATATCGGGAATCCACGGAACCGACTAGTCGATCTAGTTTCGCATGGCGAGAATCACGTGTTTCCTGACAATATAGTGGTTCCGTTGCGTGATCCGACTCGCTTCTTGGTCTCCGACCGACTGTCTCTCCCCATTCTCTTTTGGCGGCTCCGCGAGTCCGGGCCTTCTTTATTGCTCGGTCGAGCCACGTACGAACGATATTCACTTCCGGTGCGGGAGTGCGCACCAACCAGAAGAAGGTCGTGTTTCGAAAACTTGTACACTCGGGTGCAATGTAGGCTCATATAGTTAGCCCTTGATTTTGAGGGAACGTAGGGAGACCCTTACCGTATGCTTCCAGCCAGCAAATGTAGATTTCAAATACTTTGGCACGGGTTCGAATCCAGTCGAGTGAACTTTTTTTTTTTTTTTTTATACAATTATTTTTTATGATTATAGAAGTAATTCCAGTTATAGAAATGATAGAAATATTTTTTTATAATTATAAAAATATAGTAATTTATGTGATTTGATAAAAAATTTGAAATCTATGTCAGGGACGTTATCCGAATATCCCATATTATGCGTTTTTCCAAATTTTTTTTTTAACTAGCTTATTCTAGATATAGATCTATCAGCCTTTGTTAAAATCTCCTCCTTGTTTAAGGAACAAAGGTGAATAAGGCGATCGATAGATCATTTCTTCTTTTGCACTCGACTGTACTCGTTTTTAAATCGACACAAATATTGACTTGGCGGTTCGCGATCGTAAAGTAATTCACGGAATGTTTCTTCCGGTTACGCGTGCAAATCGAACGGGTGTTTGCAAACCGACGAGGAACAGACCGATCGGAATCGTTATTATTATTAACTGCGGTGACGTGTTCGTTTATGTTTGGAAAATAAGCAAAAGTACAGCTGCGAGGCTTCCGATTTATTCTAAATCGTGTTCTCGATCTGCGAACGATTTTTAAGATCGTTTGTGGACATCGATAGAAATGATTTTCAAAGGATGTGATAAACTAGAAGTGGTTTCGATATGGTAGAGTTATTATTTTGCCGACGGTTCGAGTCTGCGGAGATGGATTTAATATTCTTCGTTAGAGGAGCCACTCGCCAGTGGTTTCAGGACTTCCTTCCTTTCCGACTTTCCTCGCTTCCGGGCAACCACCGAAAATCCAATTTACCGCTCGGATTAAGGCAGGTGTTACTCGATCTAAATAAAAAAAAATCCTTTGTGTCAAATTTAATTTACAATGAGGTGTATTTGATTGTAATAATCATTTTTTTATTTCCATTTTATCCTTGTTATCGTTTAAATAACTATAGTCGCCCTTAGTACTTAAAGGGGTTGACTCTAATAGTAGGCTTAATTGGCAATTAGGAGAAATATTTTGAACGTACTTTTTAAAATAGGCTCCGTCTCAAACTCGTTGCAAATGTGATCAAAAATCGAATCGTCTGAATTTCTTTTGTACAAATAATTTTCCCTCTGAGGTTTTTCATCAAGATCATGCTTCACTGTTACTCGTTCACCAAGATGAGAAATTTCATCATCAGCTTCCCCGCTTCGATCAGTGAAATAGGAAACATCGTTACAACAGGAACTTTTCAATGGATTATTGGTCCTAGAAATCTTCCTTCGAACGTTTCTACATGTACTTTCGTATTGATGTCCATTTTCTTGCCACTTTTGATAAACAAAAATGTTCGAATTTAAAACTTAGAAAGTATTTTCTTAAATATTAGTTTTTCGTTTGGAAATTTTAATCACCTGATGAGAATGATCTATTTTATCTTCTTTTCGAAAATCCACTTTACGACTGTTCAAATTACTTAACTTCATAAAACGACCACCTTCGTGATTGTACTTTGTGTAATTTGAGGCTTGCAAGTTTTCGTTGTTCTCCTCTATCTTTTTGTGCAATTTCGAGCTCAACATGCTTCGAGATGATCTGTAATGAATAAATTTTTGAAGATTTACAATATTTCCATTGGCTAGTTGTTTGTCATGCTGATAGTAGTTAATTACTTTAGTACATTCTTTGTATCAGCTGAAGAACCAAGAATATCAGAACATCCGCTATCACAACATTCACCACCGCACTGATACTCACTCGTCTGATACATTGATTTATTGACTGAAAATCTAGAATCTTCTTCAGGTATTGAGTTTAAGTCAACATCCTTAACGTACGATTCCATTCCCTGTAGTGGTACAAAATGACAATTCTAGAGCATATAATTATCACAAACAGATTCAGTGTTTTTTCTATTCTAATTAAATTTAAAAAAGAAAAGATCGCTGTGGAATTGGGAAACTGAGTGCTAATCAATAATTAAACTATATAGCAATATTAAGTGACATCATATTACTGTAAAATAACTGGTTTAATAAATTATAAATACTTCGCGCGCCTTATTTTTGAATGTTTAATTTCTTGCTGGACGATTTGAAAATAATACCACTTTTTTCTGGGGTTCCACCGCTAGATGACTGTAGCATCTGTTTCCCAGATGAAGAGCTATATTTTTTTATTTTTATAATATAATGCTCCAAATAATCTTAAAATTAGATTATTAGGTTATTCAGGATTAATTGTCAGCAAGTTATAAAAATCATTCATTTTGCAGAAAAATATGATTTTCTGTTTGGTTAATTTTCCCACGCGCTGCTAGATGGTGCTAGTGATACTGTTTTGAATTTTCGGGAAGATATTAAATTTAAAAAATACCTTATATAATTTTCTCAGTTTATGTTATTAATTATTTTGCAATGACCTGATGTCATTTTTATACCATTCAAATTAATTTATTAATTACTGTTTGATTGTAATCCTCTTTTACTTCTTATGTTCATTTTTAAAGAACTCTATTTCCACAATCTCCGCTTATTACAAATACCGCACAATCTAATGTTATTAAATTAAAATTACCGGTTCTGTTGGATGGTCATTATAATCTCTAGTAGGTCCTTCCTGTTCCAAGACGGAAGCTTCCGCTATCGAGGACAGTTTATCAGTCGAAGTACCACATTCCCTGTATTCTAGCTTAACATAAGGATCCTGTACAATGACCACATCATCTTTGTCGTATTTTTCATCTAACATTGCCATTTGTTGTGGGCTGCCACTATAACACTCGAAATAATGAAAAACACTTTGCTGATGTTTTGTATCATAAATTAATGATATTCTTACCTGATCAGAAGCGCATAATTTTCAACAGAGGCCTCGCTGGGTCGTTTCGCACCGTACAGACTATTCTTGAAATATTTTGATAAATCCTCCAGTTTGTCAGAATAAAAGTAGACTGGTTTCGTCACTTCCGTCGAGGATTCGCCGGAAATGTCTTTAACGAAACTGCCACGCAGACGTTGACGAGAGTGTCGGTGCTCTTTACATTGTTTCATGTTTATTTTCTTCTTTTCTCTGTTCCTGTTGAATATTAAATATTGCATAAATTTTAAATTAATGAAGAGGGAGTAGCCTCTCATCATTTGCATTTAGTTGGGGGAACAGAAGAAGAGTCTAAAATATTCTTTAATTCCTAATCATACCTAATTCGCGAATTAAAATCAATAAAATTCATTTTTTTTATTACTATCGACAACTTCAACCGACCCGATCAGTAATCCATCGCCATCGACGAACATCTTCGCCCTTTTCCCTTGATTCTTCTGCATCAACTCGAAATCTTCATCGTCTTGAACCTCCCTCGAGACACGTTTTTGAGCCGCCAGAGATTGTTCGTATTTAACACGATGATACTTGGACTTGATCTTCTCGTAAATTTGCTCGTCCTCGCGCGTGCTCAGCACCGCTTTCAAACCATCCGCCGTGAGATCGATCAGTACTCGACAAATTTTCCTCGCATCTGTTGACGGAAACGTAATAACCCTTTTTCATAAATCACGAAAAAATATTTCCCTGTTACTCACGTGGTCGCGATTCGGGGACGTAATAGAGAACGACACCGGAAATCATCAACGTTATCAGAGATAAGCGTTTCAAGTAACTGATCCAGCCAAAGACGCTGAACGAATCCTCCTGATAACCTGTCGAACGAAGAAGGAAGTCATATCGATCACCTGCGCGAACGCACTTTCACTTACTGTCGCTGTTCGATCTCGATGCCACGCACTGTAACACGTGCGCGATCAGAACCGACAGCAGGAATTTCATGTTCGTCGCGAATCGACCGGCCAGTCGTTCGTCGTTCGGTTAGTTTTTCGATCGGTGCTTACGTGAGGATCGTCATGTTTCTAGTAGCACGCGAACAGGAGACGGAAGGTGGCAACGGAGTTCATCGATGCGAGATCGCATCGAAATATCAGGAAGCAAATTTCACTTCGAAACGTGTCGCTCACGTGAGTAACGGTTGTAACGGTATGCGTTTTAGCCTCTATTCGACGATTTAGGACCGGCTTAAATTCATTTTTCTTAAATAAAATTAGGAAATGTAAACCGTAGCAAAGTTTATTTCGTATGCCCTGTCATTTCCCTAAGATTTGGTTATTTCACCATTTAACTTCTGTTTGAAATATTTTTTTCCATTTTTTGCATTTTGAAAATTATCCACGTGTCAAAAGATGACAATGTCATTATACTTTGAAATTAATTTTCACCTCCCAAGGGTGATCAAGGCTCCTCGTCATTCTGTTATTAGATCATTCTATAAACCCAAAAAATTTTTATTAGAAAAACGAAATTTCTACATATGGTTCTGATCCGATGTCCTACACCGGAACTCGTACCGATTTCGCGCGTGTCTGAACGTTGAACAGAGACGTCAGCATAGTTGCGATTTTTTTCAAATTTTTCTAAAATTAACCCTACTGATGTATTTTATTGAGATTCTCGCCAAAGATACCCAACTGGTATCGGTGATGAATATGGAATTCTTACGATGTCTGGTGCCTCTTCTTAAAATAAATGAAAGAATTTACGAGCGAAATAAGAAAGATCGGTATTCGGATAAGAAAGACCGAATGGTGTAACCTTATTCCCTAGCTGTTTGACATTTCGCACTTGACACAGAAATTACATTGATTTTATATTAATTTCTAATTACGACAATAGTAACATTAATTTTTCAATTTATCAATTAAAAGCGACAAGGTGAAATAAACGAAAGCACCGTGTAAGATTCATATCTTAGGTTTTTATTATGCTCTGAGTACTTTACAATATAATACAAAGGAAATCTAATGCGCCGGATCATTTTCGAACGCATTCGAACGAGAGGGAAAAAGTATTTGGTACGAGTTAGCAAGAAAATAATAAGTGCAGGGTGCACAAGCAGAGGACTCGCACTACACTCTAAACGGTGCGTTTTTAATACAACATTGATCCGTGACTTCGTTAACGAAGTTTTACATTTCCATGAATAGTAATTTGTTCCTTGGGAAACAACCCCGATCCTCTCTTATATTCATCCATAGTATCTATCGAGAGAACAAATCTGTCTCCCAAGAATCAAAGGTTCGTTAATGGTTATCGAGAACAGAAAAAAAGAAAAGAAAATCTACGATTGCCTGTTTAATACTAGTCGTCCTGTTCGTACAATTGATCTAAAATCGAAGACGACACGCTGATATCACTTACTATCGCGGTGGATACTTTTGTATGGCTACGTGTAACTACTTGAAAACACAACTACGCAATAATTCTACGACTAATACACAATAATAATACAATAATAATAAGATGTAACACGATAGAATAAAATACAATAGGACGCGTGTAACGTAAACGGCGAAATTTCCACGCTGACAAGTGTCTCAGGCTCGAGTCGTTTTCAATCATCTAACCAATAAATATAGTATTTTTTTTTTTCTTATTTTCACGAATGACGCGCGTGGACGAGGGACGCTAATTGAATAAATAACACGATTAAATTATTGGCTCCATCGAATACGGTCCACGCGCGTGTGCCAACGACGAATCCGCTTCGGTTACACGCGGATGAGCGACTTTATACAGAGAGTGAGGACGATTTAATGCGAAACGACGAACGATGATGGAGATGACGTGACATGTGTAGCAACGAGCCAGTGTGCCTAGACGACTTCGACGTATTTTCCATAGAGAAACGTTGCCCTCGAAATCGTGTATCACCTTTCTCGAAATGATTCTTTCGATCGATTGAAATTCGCTACGTAGACATAAAGCTTCGAAAAAGAAAGAAAACGTCGGGGATTCTCGAGCGAGTATGCTCGGTGATTCGCGAAAGGAAGAACCGTATCGTGTCACGAGGATGAAACACCCTCCTCGTCTTTACGCGAAGGACCTCTTGATTTTGTCGATCGCGTTCGTAAGGTGGGTCATCTCCGTGTTCAATTGGGACACTAGGTTCTCCAACCTGTCCACGCTGTCGAGCACCTCGACACGTTGCGTGTGGGGATCGTATCTGACCTCGAAGGGTCTGCTCATGGTGGCCACCTGGAATCAAAGAATTATTAATAATTAGAAACTAGAATTTTTCACTTTTCAGTATTATCTTGACCGAAAACCTTTTTTGCAATTAACATTATTAAATTTGTATTTAGAAAAAAAATACCGAAAAAAAGCCTTTGAGAAATTAACTATTGATAATTTAATTTAATTGGAAATTTCGCAAGAAAATAATCGAGCACAATTATAATTAACGTTTATGGATTCCTGTTCACTTTTCGTTTTCACTTTTCAGTATTATCTTGACCGAAAACCTTTTTTGCAATTAACATTATTAAATATGTATTTAGAAAAAAAATACCGAAAAAAAACCTTTGAGAAATTAACTATTGATAATTTAATTTAATTGGAAATTTCGCAAGAAAATAATCGAGCACAATTATAATTAACGTTTATGGATTCCTGTTCACTTTTCGTTTTCACTTTTCAGTATTATCTTGACCGAAAACCTTTTTTGCAATTAACATTATTAAATTTGTATTTAGAAAAAAAATACCGAAAAAAAGCCTTTGAGAAATTAACTATTGATAATTTAATTTAATTGGAAATTTCGCAAGAAAATAATCGAGCAAAATTATAATTAACGTTTATGGATTCGCGTAAGAGCGCACCGTCTGCTCAGCATCGAAGTCTCCGACAGAGCGATATACATACCCAACGACGGAACTTCTCCTTGGCGTCTTCGAAGCTTTCTGCCACGTAATAAATCGGTTGATATTCTTGATCCTGATACTTCTGAAGGGCAGTGGTGGTTGGTTCGAAGGCTCTGTGCTCGCATTTGTCGCTGAGAGCGTGAAGCAGCTCTCCGTAAGCGGACAAAAGACCAGCGCCGTAGGCTTTCACCTCTTGACCCTCCTTGCAGAGACCGAACTCGACGGTGAACCAGTAGATGGTCGACAATTTTTCGATTTCCTCGTCGGAGGCACCCAACGAAGCTAAACCGATTTCCTGAGAGAATTGAGCGAAGCTTGGATCGGCCAACAGCGGCATGTGTCCCAGGAGCTCGTGGATGCAATCTCTGCGAATGGAAAAGAGAAGAATTTCATTCTAACGAAAGGAGGAAAATTAAACGAGTCTTTAATTAGACGCTTTAATATCATCGGGAATAATTATGGTCGTTCTTTAATCGGCGCCGAGCGAAGGCAATTTAACGAAAAAGGGGATGAAAGCATAAAGCAGGGGTGAAAGTTCGCCGAGAATTAGATAGGGGCTCTTTCATCTCTGCATTAATAACGATATAATTTCGTTATCCACAATTTCATGGTGAAACGAAATCAACGTAACTCGAAAGAGCAATGCGAAAAGAAAATAATAGCAGAAACACTTGTATTAAATGGAAGATCAAAAATGAATGGAAATTTGCATAATTTTCTGTTTGATAAGGATCGAAGAGTTTGTCATCAGGATGACTGCTCTCTAACAGAAGATGCCTTCGTTGGAATCGAAAATTTCACCAAGGCGGAAGGTACTTCCGTCTAGATACAAGATCGCATCCCTGGAAACTAAGTTATCAACGCCATCGCGTCGTTAAAAGCCAATTAGAGCTCCATTACGAGCTTAGAGAAGCGTGGTAATTCTATTATTATCGTTCTCTGTGTAACGTCAGCCCTCTCTCATCATAACCCACTCGATCGATTGCCCTCCATCGAGTCGTATGAAACAGATCTCCTCCCAATATAAACTCATTGAATATTAAAAGAAGCTTAGATTGCCCTAAAAATTATTATTCCATGAATCATGAAGCGACTGTGCTTATTTTTGCTATAAAATCCCCATTTAACATTAGATGATCATATTGACAAAAGAATTGAAAAACATTGAAAAATACTTACGGTTCTGGCGTGTGGTACGGGCTATTGATGTGACGAATGTACTGGGTGCTCTGGAACACCCTGAACGCAAGGCTGGACAGGAAGTCTCTAGCGGTGAGCAGTCCAGCCGCGGGACGCAGAGTGAACCCGGTGCTCTTCTTCAAGAAATCGCTCACTTCTTGAAGCTGAGGTATACGATGAGCCTCGAAGATCTTCTCCTCTTGCAGCTTCTTAAACACTCTCTGATACTCGACGCAAGCGTACTTCGGTACCAGGTCAACGACCGTGTTGAACACGCGGGACCAGGTGTCGTTCTCCGTCTCGGTGTAGGGAATGCTCGGGATTGCATCGCCGTATTTGTAAGCGAACGCGATCTCCGCGATGATCTTCCTGCGAGCTCGGTACTCCTTGTCGGCGAAACCGGGATGATTCATATCGAGATCGGGCTCGTACTTGGTCATCAGGTGGTTGCAGTTGTCGAGCTCGGACGCGTGTCGCGGGAACCACGGGTCTTTGATGCTGACGGAATTGTCCGCGAGCAGAGTGACGCCGTCTAGAGCGGCGCTTTGACGGAGATTCCTGATCAGTTGCAACAGGCTCTGCCTGGTCATGTCGACCTTCACTAGAACGTCGAACTGCAGGCCTTCCTTCTTCGAAGGTCGCGACTCCACGTGGGTGACCGTTCCCTTGAAGTTCTCGATCGTCTTCAGGATCCTCGCCAGTGAACTGATTCCCTCGCGTAGACGGAGAACTAGAGCCGCTTTCTGAACGGCGTTCTCGTTCTCGGGACATTCGGCTATGGTCTTTGCCAGCACCACTTCCTCCTCGGTCAATCCGGCGTCTGAAAGGAATCGTGAGAGACGGTGAGGGTTGATCTTCGCGAATTAAAATTTCTGTCGATGGATTCGACAGAGGATTTTTACTTTATTGTAGGCGTTTAGTGGAGGGGAAAGGCGGGCTGAGTCTCCCCGGACGTCATTAGCTCGGGTCGACGACCGCCAGGTGGCGGCGGGATTGAGTCTGTTCTCGCTGGCGCTCCCCCGGCATGAGTTCCAAAAAGCGGGGTTATAGGCGTCTGGGGCAGAGTCTAGCAAATGATCCCGAGACGAAACGACATTTTCTCTCCCTACATTATAGCAATTTTATTTTCATTTCAACCGAAGCGAAGTTAAGCTAGTCTCTATGTACGTGATTCAGGGATAATGCCTGAAAATTTCGCGTAGAATACCAAATCATTTTCCACGTTCTTACGCGTTATTTCGCGGCGCTAAGTGATTTCCGTGGACGGTA